GGTCAGTACCCGATCATCACCCTTGTCCCCTTCACCTGAAGAGGCACCAGCACTTACTTCCTCTATGCACCTCACATGTTTATTAGTCCCAGGTTTTGGCCAAGCTGAGCCGGGTTTTCATTCATTCTTGAAATGGCTGACTACTCCTACTTAGGTCACCTCTGTCCCTGGCTTTGGGACCACTCTGCTAGTTTTCCTCAAAATCTCTGGCCCCTTTCTTTCTCCTTGTTCTTTCAGCTTCTGTTACCAACCTTGGTATCATCACTTGACTGAATCTTTACGTTTCTTGGGCTTAACTGTCTCCCATACAGTGCTCCCAAACAGCCTCTTATTTCCTGACCACACAGGCCCCTCGCTTGTTTTCTAAGCATCCTTACACCCTTGCTGACTCTAGTCTGTGCCAGGGCCTAGTGTTCTAGCATGCTCCTTCCTTTTCGAAAGGCTCTGGCTTCAGTCTGTAGTGAGACCTTTAGCAGGGGATTATTGGGTGACTGCACTGCTAGACTGTAAGCTCCGTGAGGGGTAGGGACATGCTCTGCATTGGTGACCACTGTATTCTCCCAGGCCTGCCGTGGTGCATGGCACTTAGTAGGTGCTCAATAAATATATGTTGAAATAATGAGTTTGAGTATTTTTTCAAATGCCTCCACATCAAATTCTAAATTTCATAGTTGGGTCTGCTCACCAGTGTGTCTCCTGTCACTATCCTGATGCACAGCAAGGCCTCCCGGGGTTTTCGGTAAACCTGTAATTGAATGGGTAGCTGAGCAGACAGCTTGAGGGAAATGAGTACAATTAGAATTGAAACAGGGTGGGCTAGGGGTCATCTGAGTTGTCTGGAAAGAGGATTTCATGTGAAAGCGAGTCCCTTTGTTCCACAGAAAACTGGTAGGGCACCGTGGTTGAGGCTGTGGGCTGGAGGCTGCACACTTAAGCGGCAGAGCAGCTCCTGAGCCTGTGTAGTCCTGCTAGTGCTCCAGTTTGGAGCTGCAGTTCAGGGCTAGCTGATAGGGCCTCCCTGCTGGGCATGGCTGGACAAGTTGCTTTCCGTTTCAGAGCCTCAGTTTCTTTCAGTGGGAATCCAGAAGGAATTAGTTTTAAGCACTTTATTGGTGCTTTTTCATGGTTCCCCATGCCAGTCAACAACTCTCTAAAGGATTACTGTCATGTCTTCTTTATAGATGAGAAGACTGGGCACAAGAGGTTAGGTAATGTGCCCCAGGTCACACATCTGGTATGTAGTAGAGCTGGGATAATTCAGCATTGCATTTTCTGGCCATTTAATGAGATGCAAAATCAGTTTGCTAGCTTCCAACAAACATTGAGAAATGGTGCAGGAAATAGCCCAGTACATTATGACATGCAGTGCAGGTAAGTATTATTTTGAAGAGCAACTGTTTCAGTTCTCAGTGTGTCTGTGTATTTGCTCGTGTGGATGTGCCGGGTTATGAGGTAGAATGGTTTTCTCACCCTGGGCTGTAACCATAGAAGTGTCAGTGAGCTAAAAGAAGCCAGAGGCATGGTAAGTTGCTCCACAGTGCCCAAGTCCTAGAGTTGAGGCTGACATTTTTTTGAGAAGGCAAGACTACATAACTTGGTGGCTTTCATAGCCTCCTTAGCCCATCCCCCCATTGCCACCCACCCACCCCCGCCCCAAAGCACATGGCTTAGGGTAACTAGAATTCCAAGTATCTCGGAGCAACTTTCTAAAGCCACCTATCCCCCAGATAGCATCATCAGGTTGTCTCCATGGGAGCTGGGCTCTGCTGTGTTTCCTTTTGGGGTTCAGCACATGACCCACTTTGGGCAAGTAAAGTTCTTTGAAACTTGGAGTGCTGGGAGTGCTCACATAGGACCCAGATGATGATAGTGGCGGTGATATGACTGAGAGTACTTTTCATTTCTCTTTGGGGCTTGCTAACCTTCATTTCCTCATTCATGCTTTTTCCCTGGCAACTCATCCTTCTGTTCTGTCTTGGCTGGCCTGGCCTGGGGCCATTGCCACCAATTTCTGAGGTCCCATCCCCCTGGTCTCCAGGTACTGGTACTGTCTGAAGTCAAGCAGCCATTGAGTTTCTCAATGGCAGGAAGAATTTTCACACCCAGTATAGTAGAGTAGTCCATTCTAGGGTAAGATGGACTTGACTCATGTTCACAGGCACCCAAATAAGGCATTCTAAGACAATCCCAGCAGTGTGTGTCCTGGCCCACTGTTTATTTGCTGCCCTTGAGAGGATGCCACATGGCATTTGTGGGACTGGTGCCAAAAGAGCAGGTTTTATTCTTGAAAGTTAACAGGGACACTGCAGGTACAGTTTTGTTCTTACTCCCTCTTCATTTTTCTAAGAACTGTTACTGATCAGTGTTACACTCGCTCCCTTACTTCCCTTGTTTTAATTGCAGTCACAGCCACCTCCAAAGTTTTACCATGCAAGACAGTTCAGTTCAAAAGTTTTACACACACACACACACACACACACACACACACACACACACACACACACACCCTGCCTACTGTTTGAGACCGTGTCTTTAAAGTGGGACAATTTTTGGATATTATCAGTATGGAGTGTAGTTAATGGTTGTAGACAGTTCCTTCAATCTTAGTTTCTACATTTGGAAGAAGAAGAGGTTGCTGTTTTGAAGGATATGTGTAAGATTTTCAAATGACTTTGATGTAGTAACAAAAAAGGTCCACAGTGGAGGAGGTGAGGTGCAATTGCTCCTGCCTCCTGCTTTTCTTCCCAGCTCTTTGAGCTTGGGAAAACAACTTGCTTGCCTCTGCTGATTTGGCAGATATTGGTTTGGCCTGATATTTAGGTGGCTTCATCAGTGGGAGAGGTGTGGTGACTGAAGACCTTTTGTTTTGGAATTTCTTTTTCTTCCCTCAACTGCCTAGAAGTATCTCTGCTTTTGGCTACTGCTTGAGTTCTCTTCTCATTCACTTCTATGATGTAACAGAAGCTTTGTCATCATGCATGTCAGAATTGAGCCAGATTCCAGGGAATGTTTGTGTGGGCCTGGCCCTAGGAGAACACCATGGCTTTTCGTCCAGTTGGGAGGGTTCATGGAGGGCTTAACTTTGGAAGATCCCAATACAATGATTCAAGAACTAAAACAAATGAAGCTATCTCTGCCAGGTAGACTCATAGAGCTGTAGATCCAAAGGCCTGAACTTTAGACCCACTGGAGACTGGCTCAGGACTAATGTGGCTTTTCCCGAGTCTTCTCATCTGTGTTGTGTGGAAGTTTCTGGCTGGGCTCCCAGAGCCACCTGCCCCGGGGCTCTCTACTATTCAGTCTGAAATACCTCTGGTGGGACAAATGAGTCCTAGACTACAGAGGGAGACTGAGTACCCCTTCCAAAGATTCTAGACCCTAGGCCCTTTATTAGTTAAAGCTCCTTCCTCCAAAGTGCTGATGATATTCCTATAGCCGCTCTCTGGTAGTAGTCTAGCCATATGTGCCATGAAACTGGAGAAATGGTGAATCCATGGGCCACGGGCAGGTGGAAAAACAGCCTTCCTGAAAGGGAGGGAGTCTACACGTCTGTCATTGGTTCTTCCCTCTAGTTCTAGATAGGCCCCGGAGATTGGGTTGGGTGTAATCACAGGGTCTCTTATCCAAACAGTATCGGCTTGTTGGTTAAAAATCTGGGTTTTGATCCTGCCTGTGTAACCTTGAGTCATCTCCTTAGCCTCCGCTTCATCATCCACAGGACGGGGATAGCAGAACTGCCCCACTTCAAAGGACTTACAAGTCCTTCCCTCGCAGTCACCATGACTATTAAGTCAGTCCATGTGATGCATGTAGACCATTGACCAGAATGCTGTCTACATGCATAGGCCTGCTACTGGCATTGTTTCTGTGAAGATAATTTTATTAGGCATTTGATTGGGTATTTTCTTAGTTGCAACTTTTTCATAAGTGTCAACAGTGCCCTGTTACCTCTTAGGAAGATAAGGTTGTGATTGTTTCAGTTCCCCTCAGGTTTCAGAATCCTGTTATCACTGTTCTTGTAATCATTGCTTCCTCCATTTGTCTAATTTGTGAACATTTGATACTTACATGTAAGAGTCAGCACACTGATTGCTCCATGATTAAGTTCCATTCCTGAGAAGGATCTGGCTGAAATATTTGGTCTATGCCACTCGGGGTTCTAATTTGGCTGGCAGAGGAGCAATTAGACCAATAGATTTCTCCCATTGATTTAGCTATTGCTCTGTGCCAGGCCAGATATCTGGTTTTCTATCCTTAATGTTGACTTCCCTATGTTGCACACAAGGAGGTGATGGGTCCTGACAGGCTGGTATGGGGACCAAGGAGGGGTGGAGTAGAGGACACAGGCCTTTCTGACCCCCTTTCAATTCATCTCCATTTGTCTTCCTTCTTCACCTCTGCTGCTTCCTGTATCCTCCAGTCTTTTTTTTTTTTTTGCCTGACTTTCCCTTAAAATGGCTTCTGTGATAGCCAGAAACAAACCCTAAATAAATGATCTCAAACTGCCCATTGGTATTTGATTTGCAACCATAAAATAAAGGAAACAAGCTAGCTACTTAGTAGGAAGGGGATGGCTATATAGATAATGTCAAGGCCATTTGATAGGAGCACAAAGCTGCTGTTTTTCAATGTTTGCAAAAGTCTATAATGATGTTTCTTACTGTTTAATGGACAAAGCCAGCTGTGAAAGCATGTTTGCAGAATCTAAATGGTTTCAGGGAATGTCTGGAATGAAATTTTCCAAACAGTAACAGTGGTTGCCTCTGGCTCATATGTGATTGTTTTTTTTTCCTCTGCATCCTTATGCTTTTCTGTATTTTGTAAGACTTCTACAATGAGTGTATGGGACTTTTATGATCAAGGGATTAAAACGCAGTAGAAGAGAAGATAGCAGCTGTTAGGTTAAGATGGGCCACCACAGAGGCACAGAAGGTGCCCACGGGTGGCAGAACTGCCCTCTTAGGGTGCCATATTTATATGTTGTCTCGTCTGCCCCACAGGCCTCTTGAGGAAGAGCTGAGGATGAAGAGCACGGATGATAATGCCCTTTCGGGTAAGCATCTGGCAGGCTTTGAGAGTTCTAGCCTCTTTTAATACCTTAAATAGTTTTTCATGATGCTGGGGATGGAACCCAGGGTCCTTGGGTGCTAGGCAAATGCTCTGCTACTGAGCTATGTCACCTAACCTTTCTAGTGGCCTTTTACCATTTCTTTCTTACTTGTTTCTTTCTAGAAAAAGGAAAAGGTCATAGTCCTTTGCCACAAAAAGCTTCCAATGCAAACTTCCAGTTAGTTTCATAGATGAGCAGGGATAGGACTCTTGTCTACCTGTCTTGCTTCAACATTGCCCTTCTCTTCTCTCTGGCAGAACATCCTGATGTTCATGGGTCACTGGGTCCCCTGGTGGCCCCCACCCCTCTCCGTCCATGGCCCCAGATGACACTTCGGGTAAGCAGGTCCTTGTAACCTTGGTGTGAATAGCCTGATAGGTCACTCCCAGTATGCTCTCAACTGGACTTAGTGGTAGAAGTGACATGCTCTTTTCTATCCTAGAAGTGGGGGGTGGGGTGGAGGTAGGAGTGAAGACTGAAATTATTTACTTGGGTTTAATTGTTAATTAGAAAACATCTAGTGAATATGTGTTCCATGTTATAGACACTGGAAACCTAACACAAATGACATCTGTATGGGAATTACATGTTCGGGCAGAGACATAATGAAATAATAGATAAAATATATGGTATTTTAGATGAAGATGGGTGCTTAGGGGAATGGAGGGAGAGAGGGGGGAAATGGAGATAGGGGCCTGAGAAATGAGGCTTGAGAGACATTTGAAGAGAATGAACCCCATGACAAGCTGGGAGAAGAGAATTCCAGGCAAGTGCCAAGTTACTAAGGGGACTTTGACTACTGTATGTTAGAAATAAGACTGAGCCAGGCAGTGGTGGTACACGGTTTTAATGCCAGCACTTGGGAGGCAGAAGCTCGTGGCTCTGCGTTTGAGGCCAGCCTCATCTATAGAGCCACTTCCAGGCCAGTCAGGACTACACAGAGAAGCCCTGTTTTGAAAAACAAAAACCAAACCAAACCAACACCAATCAAGAAGACTGTTGTGATGGGAGCAGAGGGAAGTGAGGGGCAAAGAGGAGAGGTGAGCAGTGAGGTCAGGGAAGTAGCAGGGCACAGAATGGGTGGGGCCATGGGAACCAAGGTGAGGACTTAGGCATTTTTACTCTTAGTGAGGAGGAGACAAGGGAGGAATGTGATCTGCAGTGGGACACTGTTGGAGGTGAAAAGCAGGGGCAAGAGGAAGCAGGTGAACCATGATGCTGTTGGCATGGGATGAGGAGACATTTAAGATGTGTGTGTTTTAGCCGGGCCATGGTGGCGCACGCCTTTAATCCCAGCACTCGGGAGGCAGAGGCAGGCGGATCTCTGTGAGTTTGAGGTCAGCCTGGTCTCCAGAGCGAGTGCCAGGACAGGCTCCAAAGCTACACAGAGAAACCCTGTCTCAAAAAACCAAAAAAAAAAAAAAAAGACAGATGTGTGTGTTTTAACTTTTGTTTATAAATCTTAAAAGTAAATGTATATATCAAAGTAAAGAGAGTGGTATAATGAACCCACAACACCCAGCTTTGACACACATTGACATGTGTCTGTCCCTGCTTTATAGCATAGCTCTTTCCCTTCCTGTTTCCTATGGAATTATTTTTGAAAAAAATCCAGATAACAGACAGTTCATGAATGCTGTAGTTTGTTTCTTAGAAAATAATCATTGAACAAAACAAAACAACCCCCCAATGATCGTGCCACGATCATATCTCTGAAAATTAACAGTGTTCATTAATGATTGGGTTAGTGATCCAATTTCCTTATAAATATTCCCAGGACCCAAACAAAGTGATACATTGTATTCCTTTTTCTTTTCTTTCTTTCCTCTTTTTGGTTTTTTGAGAGAAGATTACTCTGTGGAGCCCTGGCTGTCCTGGAATTCACTCTGTAGACCAGGCTGGCCTCAGGATCCACCTGCTTCCATCTCTTAAATGCTGGGATTAAACTGCCCAGCTGATACATTGTATTTCATTTCGCTATGTCTCTTCACTTTTTAGTACCCCAAAGTTTCTTTATTGAAGTTTGTTTACTAAACCCTGTTGGTCATGTAGAGTTTACACAGTCTGGGTTTGGCTGATTACATCCAGGGGAAAACACATTTTTTATTCTATTTAAAAATTTTAAATTATTTATTTATTTATCATCTCTCTCTCTCTCTCTCTCTCTCTCTCTCTCTCTCTCTCTCTCTCTCTCTCTCTCTGTGTGTGTGTGTGTGTCTTCTCTCCTTCTTCAAGGGACCTGGGAATCAGTCTCAGGCTATCAGAGTTAATGGCAAGCGCCCTTACTTCCTGAGCTTTCTCACTGACCATGGCCCTCTTACTCTATTTTCATTACTCCATTAATGTTATTTAGTTTAGTGTTTTATTAAATTACATTTACCAAACCATTAATTTTGCTAAATGTATTTGTTAAATGTCTAGCATTATGAAATTGACTTAACCAGAACTGATTCCATTAAGTTCTATTAAATTCTACCATTCTGATTTTATTGGCTGGGCTTTTTCTTTAAAGAAAATTATTACACATTCATTCATTCATGGATTCAAAATGTATTTGTTGCCTCTGAATCCATTGCATTTGTTTATTTTGATGCTTACATTGAAGTACCTCTGGCCAGGAGTGTTTTTTTTCTTCTTCTTCTTCTTCTCTCTCTCTCTCTCTCTCTCTCTCTCTCTCTCTCTCTCTCTCTCTCTTTTTGTTTTGTTTTTTCAAGACAGGGTTTCTCTGTGTAGCTTTGGAGCCTATCCTGGCACTAGCCCTGGAGACCAGGCTGGCCTCGAACTCACAGAGATCCATCTGCCTCTGCCTCCCAAGTGCTGGGATTAAAGGCATGCGCCACCAACACCTGGCCTTAAGTAAACATTTTAAAAAGAGAAAACCCATCATGAGTTCATTTATTACTGACAGTCATTCACTGAGTGCAGATGCCCAGTGAATCTTATCACCTGCAAAAAGAGGTCTCTTTGTACTTGCCCGAACTTTGCTCTTTGCATATACTTGATCAAGTCTTTGGCAGTTAGAGAATTACAGGGGGTTCTTTAACATATTTTTGCCTGGAAAACTCTAGGGACTGGGTGTGGGCTGTTACCAATTCTTATTGTCTCTTCTTGTTCCCTCCCCTCTTCTAATTTATTCCATTCCTCTTCTCTCCCCATGCTCATAACGGAAACAGGTTTCTGAAGCTACAGTGACCAACAACCCTTGGGAAGAAGGTGACATCCCCAGAAGCAATCCACCTGTGGCTTTTACAGAGGTCCTCCAGACACCAGCCATCAGGATTCTTCCATCTACCCGTGGCCTTCGTGGCCCACCCAAGGACCAGGCCTCAGGGCCCGATGCAAGTGATAGAGCCACTGGGCCCTTCCTGGAACCCAGTCAGCACCAGGTGGAGGCCACGTGGGAAAGTGGAGTGGGTCGAAAGGCCCCCACAGTGGGCGCTATGACAGATGAGCCGGCTCGGGGTCTGGAGATTGTGAGTGGGTTGGAGGAGTTGCTTGGTGAAGACACCATTGACCAGGAGTTGGAGCAGCTCTACCTGTCTCACCTGAGCCGCTTGCGGGCTGTGGCATCAGGGGCTGGTGGGGAGGGCTCTACAGATGGAGGGATGTCCCCCAGCCATCCCCTGGGCATACTTACGGACCGTGACTTGATCTTGAAGTGGCCTGGCCCTGAGAGGGCCCTGAACAGTGCCCTGGCCGAGGAGATAACACTGCACTATGCGCGCCTGGGATGTGGTGTGGAGCTCATCAAGGACACTGAGGACCCTGATGATGAGGGGGAGGGCGAAGAGGGGCTCTCCATCACTCCCTCTAGCCCTGAAGGAGACACCCCTAAGGAATCACCTCCAGAAATTGTCTCTGGGGCACGCTCGGTGGTAGCTATGGGAGATGTGTGGCTTCCATGGGCTGAGGGCTCTGGATGTGACAGCCCTGTGGTTGTGGGAACACAGGGACAGTTTACTGAGAATCCAGAGAAAGGGATGGACAAGGACATCAACTCTTTACACATGAATAGGCCCATAGATGGGGTGGCCAGATCCCCAGGGGAGGCTGGGACTGAAGCCCCGATGGAGGTTCCTACTGAGTGGGCAGGCAGCTTGATACCTATTTCTGATAAAGAGCCGCCTGCACCAGTTCTGCCAGAGCAGAGTCCTTCTCTCCTTAGTCCCCCAGGGACTGAAGTCTGTCTGTCTAGTGTAGCCAACCCTCATGTGACCTCCCAGGACGAAGAGGGCGGAAGCCTAAATCTTGAGTCCCCAGAGAGATCTCCCATGCCAGCAGCCCCGGCAGAATGTGTATGTGGATTATCTCCTCAGCTTCGGGGACCCTTGACCCAGACTCTGGGTGTCCTGGCTGGGCTAATTGTGGTCCCTGTGGCTTTGAACAGTGGTATGTCCCTTTTGGTGCTTGTGCTGTGCCTCTCTCTGGCCTGGTTCTCGTAGGGGCTACCCGCGTAGGGGCAGCAGATTTCCTCCTCTTTGGGGTCTGAAGATTTGTAGTCCCTCTATTACCCCAAAGAGTTGAGATGAGATCTGTGGCCTGGTAGTGAGGGACTTTCTCTGAGCTCTCTAGTCAGCACCAGGCTTCCTACAGTAGTATTTGTAGCGTGAAAAAGAATGGTGGATGGTGTGAAATATTTTAGAATGGAACCAGGCATGCCCCCCAACCCCCCCCCCCAAGCCTGTATTTATTTTTCTATAATTCTCTGGATGAGGGAGAGTGGTCATGAGCTGGTCTTGGGGCACAATTACCCAGAGATATATTTATTAACAGCCAATCTGTGCAACCTGCTGGAGCTTTATTTTTAATTTAATTTATATAGAGTACCTATTATTATATGCCACAATAGAGCTCTATGAGAAATGATGTGTCTTGCTGTGCTGGTCTCCTGTTTGGACCTGAGTGTATAGTGTGGTCATATTCTGGGGAATGACCATGGTCCATGGTGGGAGTGGAGATGGCCATGGCCATGCCTACTGCTGCCTCCTCAATGTGTTCTTGAGGATCTGTATCTCTTTGCCTTGTGGTCCTAACCTAATATATGTGGTCCTTTGGTCGTGCACATTTTGTTTGTGGGAGCTTGTGTCTGTGTATATGGGTGGTTGTGGTGGGAGCCAAGGGGAAGAATATTGGCCATATGAAATTTTGGTGTTAATCACGTGGCTGCAGTCAACTGTAAATATGGAGACATGGATTAGCCACAAGGTTTTGAGGTTACTGAAAAAAAGCCAGCTTTTGACACCAGCAGGGAGACCCCTCAAACCCCCAAATGGGGAAGGCCCCAGAAAGGAATTAATGTACTGTGAAAAATTTGTATCAGATTTGTTGTCCACAGACATTGCATTTCTACTCCAAACAGGAAATTCAGATGCTTTAGAAGAAAGGTTAGATACATTTATTGCATGCAAATAAAAACTCTTGGCATAGCAAAATAAAACACATTATATTTATTTACGTCCCTTTGCAGCAAAACTTTAAAAAATGGTAATGGTTTTGGTGATTTACTTATTTCTTTAGCAGGGTCTCCGACTGGCTGGGAGCTCACTGTCCTGCTGATGCAGCCTCTTAGCATGGGCCTATAGATGAGTGTCAGCGTATGTGCCTAGTGGCACAACAAAACTTCTTAAAAGAATCATTGTAGCAGCTTTCTCCATTCTTTTCTTTTCCGCCAATAACCCTATGCCTTTTTGAAATAGCCCCAATCTGTATTTTTCCCAGCAATTTAAAAATAATGGTGTTGCTGTTATAGCAACAGCTAAGCCCCAGATCTTTCTCCATTCTTTTCTATTCTGTCAATACCCCATGCCTTTCTGAAACAGCCCAATCTGTTTTTTCCCCAGCAATTTAAAAATTGCTGCTGCTGTTACAGCAACAGTTAAGCCTTACATGGCCTCCCAGCAGCATGTGATAGTTGATCATCTCTGTTCCCAGCCTTTTCTTCACTTGGTTTCCAGGACGTCACACTCTTCTCCCTTCTCACTGGCTATTCTAGAACAGTGCCCATCAAGTTGGTTTGCCCAGTAAATGACCATTGAATGAAACATGAAGGAACAAACATGTATATAAAGAAACAGAGAGACCTGTGGCTACAGTCTCGGTTTAGCTTCCCAAGTGTTGACTGAGCACCTCTGCTCTGTGGACACCAAGTTAGGACCTCACAGTCCTGTGGGGATGAGAGGTACAGAGAAGTCTCTGTGCAACACTCATAGCGCACTAACAGTGTTAAGTATTATGGGATGGGAAAGCCCAGTACAGGTGCTCAGCCTAGTTGGCAACTCTGGCAATCTTGGAGGATCTAGTACCTGGCCTGAGTTCCCCACTGTGAGGAAGACTCTGGCAGACAGTGAAGGAGGGGGTGTAAGGCCTATCCCCAAAAGGGAAGATCCTCACTCAAGTCTCGGGATGACACGACCCCCCCCAAGTACTCACGAGAGACTGTCCTTGCTGCAATCGCACGAGGTTTATTGACAGGAGCCAGCATGCTGGGGCCGAGACTCATATCCCATGCAGGGGTAAAGGAGTTTCGACCCCGAATGGCTGGCAATAGGGGTTTTTAAAGAAAGAAAGAAACCACAACCCAAAATACCACGAATACCAGTGAGGAAAGAAACCCCAACCCAAAATACCAAGAATCCCAGTGAAGGGTCCCGAGGGAAAACACAAGGGGAAACTCCCTATTCCTTAAGATTGTTTGTAAGATTCTAATCTTAACTTTTTATGGCTAACCTTTTCCTGGAACAGAGGTGCTGAACCCGCTAGCCACCCTATATCCTAGGCCTTATTTTGTCTGCTGAAGGGGTCTTCTTTATCCTGGCATTTCATCTCCTCACTTTTTCTAGTAACTAGTTCTAACCATAGAACTAGATATCAATGTCTTCATGATATTGATTCTCTTGACCTTGTAAAGAGCTATATTGCTGACACAACATCAAAATCTGAACAGCATTTATTCTTTCTCTAATGAAGGTAACTAACCAATTTAACACACATGGACCTAAAATCAGAAGCAGAAGCAAAATCAAGAAAGGTCCCATAAGGGAAGATATCAGAGTAGTCATCCAAGGGGATCTACTAAACTAGCTTCCATACCATCCTTGATGTGTTTCTCTGTCTGTCTTTTGTCTAACCTCTCTTTCAGTTTGCTCATGGAGTCCTTAATTACTCCTGAATGGTCTACATAAAAGCAACATTCTTCTCTGAGAGCAGCACATAATCCTCCGTCTTTTAAAAATAACAAATCTAATCCCCTTCTATTCTGCAAAACTACTTCTGATAGGTATGTCAGTGATTCTTCCAGCTGGGAAATAGATTGTTCTAGTGCCCTTAAGTCTTCATCCATGGCTACTCTTAATTCATTAAAGTAGTGAGGAGCCTGTATTAGAGCAGTGGTACCTGTTCCAATACCGGCAGCTACCCCGAGGCCCAAGATTACTGCTAAGGTCAAAGAGATGGGTTCTCTCTGAAAGCGGGTTGGGTGCTTGTCAAATTCATCCTCAAGCATGTTGGCTGGATGATAAAAGACTCTAGGCATTAATTGTACAAGCACACAGTAATCTTTGGTGTCATTGAAGACCGTTGTCGACACGCAAGGAGTTAGGCCTGTACTACAAGCCCACCATTTATCTATGCCAGGAACCAAGTACCGGGTGTCAGGAGTCTTAGGGCTCTTATGAGTCTTATTACATAAACATTTGTAAGCAGCTGGTGGGTTTCCCAAGCAGGTCCCTATGCCTGTAACCTCAGTAAGTGTCAACCTATGACTAGTCCCCCATACACAGCATCTGGACTAGTGGTGTTGTTAAAGGTCCCGGACCCTGCAATTACTTCATAATAAGGAGGTCCTGGAGCAAGGCAGAGCCAACAAGACTCTGTCATGTTAGGGTTAGAATTGTTTAGCACAGAGAAAGCCCCCTCTATCAAATTTAACAATCTCTGTATAGTGGAAGGCATCGCCAGAAAAGAGTTACCTAAGGTAGACATAGGTGCAGGGCTAAAGGTTAGATTCCTAGGAGGAACATGAGGTCCTCTGGGGAGTACCGGGGCCGGAGGACCTTGATCAGGCAAAACTTTGTTAGGCCCAATTGGTAAGGGAGAGGGGTTCTCTATCTTAAGTCTTAGTGTCATAACCAATCCCGGATCTTCTCCTGACACATGGAATCTTAATCCCCAGCTCAGGCCCCTAACCCATTTCTGCCATCTCTTTCCAGAGTCTGTAAAGGTTATATTTAGAGGATTACAGTAAGGGGTTCTGCTGTAGGGTCCATTTGTTATCTGTTTGACCCTAGAGCTTATGGAAGAACAGATAGGGCTCTCAGTATGGTTTTTCTTAACCGTAATTAAGTCCCAAGATGAAGAAGGTTTCCATCAGGCATCTCCAGTAGTCTCACATCCCCATGCCTTACAGTAGAAGGACTCAGGACCCCCACACTTCACTACTTGTGATTGAGACCTACCTTCCCTAGGGCACACATACAAATCTGCTTCCCGTATTGTACATCGGGTGAGCGGATTACTGCATCCTGGGCCTGTGCCAGAGTGGGTAAATTAGTTGGGAGATAATCAGGTACATCCCAATTGTCCAGTCCAGCTACTAATTGGCATACATCAGGGGTTAGAGTGGGCCACCATGTCCGGGGTGGGGCAGTCTTGGAAATTGACCAGACTACATTCCCAGTTTGTGATATCACCTGCCAAGTTAATTTTGGGGGAGCATGGGGGTTGTTATTCTTCACCTGAGCTATGTTCACGACGAAGACGCGGCTTAAGAGGATCCATAGTCTTTTCCAGTTTCCATTCATTTTTTTTTTGAGTTCAAGGGCTTGCTGGGGCCGTTAGTAGAGCCCTTTTAATTTCTTCAAAGGCTTTCTGATGATCTGGGGTCCACATAAAGACTCCCCCTTCCTTGGTTAGAGGGTACAACGGGGCAGCCAAGGTTTAACCTTTGTTATCCACAGCCTGCAGAAGCCAGCAGTCCCCCAAAATTCTTTTACTTGTCTAGGAGTAGTCGGGGTAGGGATCTGGGTTACAGTCTTTTTTCTGGCTTCCGTTAACCATCGCTTTCCATCTCGGAGTACGTATCCCAGATAAGTAACCTCCGTTTGACACAGCTGAGCCTTTTTAGCCGAGGCTCGGTACCCCAACTCACCTAACTCCCTTAGCAGTTTCCCAGTCCCTTGACTGCATTCAGACTTCGTAGGTGCTGCCAAAAGCAAATCATCAACATATTGGAGCAAGGTTACCTGGGGATTTTCAGCTCTGAAGGTGGCCAGGTCCCGGTGGAGGGCCTCATCAAAGAGAGTAGGAGAATTCTTGAAGCCTTGGGGTAATCTAGTCCAGGTCAACTGACCCACTATTCCGACGTCTGGATCTCTCCATTCAAAAGCAAAAATAGGTTGGCTGGAATGATGTAACTTTAGGCAGAAGAAAGCACCTTTCAGATCTAGAACAGTATACCACATCCTGTCTGGTGGGAGCGAGCTGAGGAGATTATAAGGGTTGGGGACAGTCGGGTGTATGTCCTGGGCCCTCTTGTTGATTTCCCTTAGGTCTTGTACTGGTCTGTAGTCGTTAGTGCCTGGTTTTTTGACCGGTGGGTGCCACCACAGTTGTTTGTTGCCCCAAAGTGAGCTTATCAGCGTCCTTAACAAGCAGAGCCACGGCAGCAACAGCTTTCAGACAAGACCACCCTATTGGGGTGGCACCAGTTTTTAGTCCTACTACTATTGGGGGAACTCTTATTGCCATGCCCATTCCTCCAGTCTCTGCCCAGGCCTTAGGGAATGTTGTCAACCAGCCTTTTTGTCAGAGGTGTTTTCCTGACTCGGGAGCTCATGTAGTCTATACTCGTCTTCAAGCCTCAGGGCCAATGCCATGGAAGTGGGAGTTTCCCATGTCATCTCCGGTCCAATTGAAGTGAACCTGATCTGGGCTTTTAACTTTGTTAACAAATCTCTTCCCAGTAAAGGCATAAGACACTCAGGAATTACTAAGAAGGAATGAGTCACTTCTCCTCTTCCCAGGTCTACAGTCCATGCACGAGGTGGTCCATGGGTATTGTTTCTGTCCAGTTGCCCCAATAACTATCGTCTTTGTGCTTTTTAGCTTTCCCAATGGTTGTTTCAGCACAGAGTGCTCAGCCCCTGTGTCCACTAAAAAGTCCATGGGGGTCCCCTCCACAGTTAGGGTTACCCTAGGCTCGGGGAGGGGGTCCGAGCCCCCACCCCTCTATTCATTTTCTTCTAGGGACAGTACCTTAGGGGCCCTTTCTTTTTTCTTTGGAATAGCTATCGCTGCTCGCTGACCTTCAGAGGTTGGGTCAAATGGAGTATAACGCCTGTAAGCCTCCATTAAACGTTCAAGAAACACAGATGGCGGTTCGACGGGCCCTTGGGGAACCTCTCTTACCTTAGCCAAATTAGTGGGTCGTCTAGCGGCCCCTCTGAGACCTGCTGCAC